AGAAGAGAGAGAGAGAGAGAGAGAGAGAGAGAGAGAGAGAAGCAATTTATTTATTGGCTTTTATCTTTAAATTGTTTGCAACGGCACTTTGAGACCTCTGGATGAATGGATCTATGGAAGTGCAAAGTACTATCTATTCATTATTCTTTTTTAAAAATAAAGGGGGAGCCTTCTAGCTAGAACTCTGTGCAATACTGAAAATGTAGGGCAAGTTCTATAGCAGCTGGGACAGGATGAAGCAAAGTAAGGCCCCAACCTTGCCAGCTACTCCGTGAGCAGGGCCCTGCTGTCGGAGTGCCTTTCCCACTGAGCAGCTCGTAGGATTGAGGCCTAGAAAGGAAGGAAAATCACTGCCATTAAAATGCCATTTTTGTCTTTTTACAAACAACAATGTTTAAGCCACCTGTTTTCACCCATGCATGTTGTATCATAGCTAGAACGGGAATATTTAAAACCTTCATTTGGCAGGAGGGAGAGTGTCTCGTGTATTGTCTAACCTAAGCCATAATATTTCCATCTCGCTTGACAGTTGCACTATAAAGTCTCTTCAGCGACGTCATGTTTGCATCAGCCGCCTGGAGAGGCCTCAGAACTGGGGGGAGAACTCCTGTGAAGTGAGATTTGTCATCTTGGTTCTTGCGCCTCCTAAAATGGTGAGTGTTTCTCCATCATTCACTCTTGATGCCTCAGAATGCTTTTCTGATCGTTCTCTTGTGGAGCTGTACTGGGGTGCATGACCACCCATTTTCTAGATGCAGCAGGAAGAGAGCAGGACTGAGGTCACCACAGTGGTTGTCTGCCCACATCTCCTTCTGACTCAGCAGCGAGCACAAGGTATAAAATTATGACAAATGACTTTCCAGTTCCCCAGACTCCTGCAGTCTCATTATAGAGTAGAATGGCTTCCTAGCTAGCGTTGGAGCTGGAGCCTGGCATAGTCTGTAAGTCTGACTGACTGATCGCGTATCATAGCTCTTGCCTCAATGTGTAGCCTATACCAATAGGCTATTTGCTAGGTAAAGCATGGGTATAAGTTAAGGCAGTAATGTAATGAGCCTGCCAGGCCTGTAAGACAATAGCTTAGCTAAACAAGGCCTAAGGCTCCAAAGCCTTAGCATAAGTAGCTAACCAGAAGTAACCCTAGATTGGTGATACTCAGACCTCAGTGGTTCTGGAGCCAAATTAGTGATCAACATTACCCAAAAGAGCCACAGTCTTGTGAATTCTTTGTTTTATTTACTATAGTATTACAGATTCGTATTTAAACAGTATGACGGGAAGTCTATATTATTCTCACAGCTAATAAGTTAATAACTTAATGCAAGTTAATAATTGGTCAGTAACATAGTAAAAGCATCCTGATTGGTTAATAATCGAATCACACAGCGTTTTAATATCATGGGCTGCAAAGAGCGACAGGAGACACATTGAAGAGCCACTTGCAGCTCTCGCGCCCCGGTATCATTGCCCTAGATCACAACATAGAACGCTGTAATGACTAACCCGCTGAAAGGTAACCACAAGATGCTAGTTTAGCCCAAGATGGTATATTTTAAGGTGGTAACCTCCGCTGATGTCTGACAACCATGGTAACTAATTAACGTACACGCTAATTAGTGTGAGGTAAAAGCTCTCTTAACCTATGGGAGAAGGGCACGCCAAGCTTAGGAGGGTGACGAGATACAAATAAGGAGAAGGGGAGGAAACCCCTCCTGAACATGCTATAGGCATAGGGGCGTCTGCGTAACACATTATAAAAGTGGTATCCAGGCTGTGTGCCTTGGGAGATGCCAGGATGATGAGCGGTGGTGATGAGGAAGGTGGTGATAGTCATAGACTTTAAGGTCAGAAGGGACCATCATGATCATCTAGTCTGACCTGCACAACGCAGGCCACAGAATCTCACCCACCCACTCCTGTAACAACCCCCTGACCTATGTCTGAGCTATTGAAGTCCTCAAATCGTGGTTTAAAGACTTCAACGTGTAGAGAATCCTCCAGCAAGTGACCCGTGCCCCACGCTGCAGAGGAAGGCGAAAACCCCCCAGGGCCTTTGCCAATCTGCCCCGGAGGAAAATTCCTTCCCGACCCCAAATATGGCGATCAGCTAAACCCTGAGTATGTGGGCAAGTCTCACCAGCCAGGCACCCAAGAAAGAATTCTCTGTAGTAACTCAGATCCCACCCATCTAACATCCCATCACAGGCCACTGGGCATGTTTACCGCTAATAATCAAAGACCAATTAATTGCCAAAATTAGGCTCTCCCATCATACCATCCCCTCCATAAACTTATCAAGCTTAGTCTTGAAGCCAGATATGTCTTTTGCCTCCACTGCTCCCCTTGGAAGGCTGTTCCAGAACGTCACTCCTCTGATGGTTAGAAACCTTCATCTAATTTCAAGTCTAAACTTCCTGATGGCCAGTTTTATATTCATTTGTTCTTGTGTCCACATTGGTACTGAGCTTAAATAATTCCGCCTTCTTTTGGTTAGGCTAAACAAGCCAAGCTCTTTGAGTCTCCTTTCGTAAGACAGGTTTTCCATTCCTTGGATCATCCTAGTAGCCCTTCTCTGTAGCTGTTCCAGTTTGAATTCATCCTTCTTAAACATGGGAGACCAGAACTGCACACAGTATTCCAGATAAGGTCTCGCCAGTGCCTTGTATAACGGTACTAACATCTCCCTATCTCTATTGGAAATACCTCGCCTGATGCATCCCAAGACCACATTAGCTTTTTTCACGGCCATATCACATTGGTGGCTCATAGTCATCCTGTGATCAACCAATACTCCGAGGTCCTTCTCCTCTTCTGTTACTTCCAGCTGATGAGTCCCCAGCTTATAACAAAAATTCTTATTAATCCTAGGAGGAAGTTAATGACTAATGCTTCAGGTTGTTCTGCAAGGGTAGCCTGAGTGTATGGGTGCGCAGACACTCATTCGGTATGAGCTCTCTCTACCTAGTTGGGTTGGAGTGTGTGTAACTTTGCTAACTGTGTTAATAAGCCTGTTGCAGATACAGAAGGTTTTTCCCAAGTCGGAGTGTTGCAACCGTGCATGTTGGGGTTCCCAACTGAACGGTAATTTTAATAATACTGGCCCTGATCTTGGGACAAAGACCTACCAAATCTCAGTGTGTTAATTGGGAATTCTTAGGTCATCAATATAATTAATATGCAATCAATAGATCAGGCAACAAATGCACTGTCCTACAGGAGATCTGAGCTCAAGTTCTACTTGAGGATCCCAATTGTTGGGCCAGCAGAGCTGAGGTTCTGAAGTGATGGACTTGTGGGGGCATGAACCAACTTGGGAACTGTGATACCCCCTGCTGGTTAAACTAGAAATCTGCACCTTTCTCCCACTTCAAGTTGTTTAGCCCCACTCTAGCCATACTAGGTCTGTCCGCAGGGTAGAGGTGGCCTTTTGGAGAAGGGAGGATGGTTCAGTACTTAACGCACTGGCCTGGGACTTGGGAAACCTAGGTTCAAATCTCTGGTCCACTGCAGACTGTCCGATCTTGGGCAAGTTACTTAGGTCCAGGTTTTAAAAGGTGTTGCTGAGCTCAGCATTACAATGCCTAACTGATTTGGAAGCCTGAGACTCTCTTTTTTTTTTAAAGGATTTAGGCACTTAGGAGGCAAAATCCCCTTTTGAAAATGAGACTTGGATACCTAAATCAGCTAGGCACTGCAATGCTAGGCATGGCAATGTCAAAATATCTTTAAAAATCTGGGCCTTAATATCTTTGCCTCAGTTCCCCTTCTGTAAAAATGGGGATAATAGTGTTTCCCTATTTCGCAGGGGTGTGTGAGGAGAAATACATTAAAAATTGTGAGGCGCTCAGCTGAGGGTCATAGAAAGAGAGCTGGGTTTTTTTGAGCATTTATGTCCAGACTGATTCTGCTGTTTCTGCCTTAATTTTTTTTCATTTTTTTTATATAAAAATGCTTTGGGCGCCAATCACATTGGGATCTGAAAACTGTACAGACTAAAAACAAACATACAGATGTCGCCCATGGAATGCAGCAAACAAACTGAGCCCACTCCGCTGTATTGATTTCCTTTTTCAATGTATACAAACTGTGTATTCCTATAGAGTCAGCAACGTGCTAAGGGAAACCCAGCTGCTGCAGGGAGCAGTGTCAGTGACTCAGTAGGGGGCACTCTTCCCTCAGAGTCCGTACTAACCTCAGTACCCTATGGCTGTGGTGCAGAGAGTGATGCTGGAGGCTAGGGGGTGCTGGGCACTCCATGACAGATATGAAGATAACTCCCAAGGCGCACACGGTACAAGTGGACAGCGTACAAATAAAGGAAAGGGAATGGGAACAGTAGCAGTGTGACTGGTAAAGAAAAGCCATGTGCTAGTCTATGATTTTTGTTTTGTTTTTTAAATGAATTGATCTACCAAGCCCTAAGTACATGCTGGGTACAGTTGCTAAAATAATAAACTCATTGACAATATCGAACTAAATCGCCTTGAGAAATTGTCTGGAAAATAGCTTAAAATTCACACCCCAGTCTTTCCATGATGATGGTGAGGATGAAAAAACTGATTAGTTCAGACTCCCTTGCCTTGCCCCGAATCGATTTCCTTATCCAAACAGCTCTCTCTCGCCTCCCCGCCGATTCCCACCCATGCCGCAAAAGCCTGAGTAGTAGTGTTGGTGGTGTTTGTTCTGTTGTGTATTACACTAGCCCCATCCGGAGTCCATTGTGCAGTACAGTCATGAAGTAAAGAGCCCGGCCTCACGGAGTTTACAGTAAGTCTTAACTCCCTTCTGTCGATGTAGCAGACTTGCAGACCAATGGAGCGCTCAACCTAGAACAAACCATCTGCTGTCTCTAGATGTTTAAATCTATGAAGTGCTAGCGATAGGGTCTCGGGTGATCTCAAGCAATATGCAGGGTCTTTTTGATAGTTGGGACACAAACTCTGTCTGTAGGATTAAAATGAAGACGTTGTGCAGTGCTTGCAATCTAAAGTATTCTACATCTGTGCTCCTGAGTGGTGCACCAGAAGAGCCCTGAATGCTTTGCCAATGTTAATTAAAAAATCACCTGCCAATCTCGCTTATCTAAATGACTATCAAAATTCACCACAAAATGAAAATATAAAAGCAATGACTATGTTTGTGTTATAGCCAAACAATACTGTTCCTGTGAGGCTTTGGAGCACTTCAGGAGGAGATTGGATAGTAGGGGGCGTTCAGCACATGAAGGATAAAGGGGGTTGAAGTATTGTGAAGTAATCCTAGGGTGTTTCCTCCTCCCCCCCAAAAAAATATCTGTGGAATATACTTCAGAAATCACCTTAATCTAATGTTTCCTACGAGACTTGGTCACGGTAGTCTTTAACCTTCTGGATGTAACTTTCAAAACCTATGTCTTGTCTTTGAATCTAAAGTTCTACAGCAATTCATTGAGACGAACCTACAACTGACACATCCCTAACATCCCAATGGACTTTGGATCAGTCTCCGAATGCTAAAATCTATATTAACGTAATGTTGTGCTTGAGACTGCAATGCACAAACCAGATCACCTTTCCATATTCCCCTGTAAGAAATGGTCTCTCAGCACCAAAGCCAGGCTGGAAGCATTTACTTGCTCTTCCTGCCATGATTTGGGTGTTTGTGCTAGCAGTGATTTCAGGGGAAGTGCGGAATCTTATGTTCTGGTCTTGACAGGCAGGTGAAGGAAGATTGGTGTTTTGGGTGGTATTTATTTTGTTTTGAAGTTTTACAGTTTTTAAATAATTTAAGAGTTTTTTGTTATGATCCCTAATCTGCATTTGTTTTCCTCAGAAAAGTACGAAAACTGCCACCGAAGTGGGCCGGACCTTCGCCACGATGTTTTCAGATATAACTTTTCGGCAGAAGCTTCTAGAAACAAAAACCGAAGAAGAGTTTAAAGAAGCCTTGGTACATCAGCGCCACCTGCTGACGGTGGTGAATCAGAGACCCTCAGCAGTGAACGAGGGGCACAAAACACACAGCCACAAGCCGCTCAAGGTAGGGCGAGGAAAAAGTCTAAGTCCTGGCTTTCCACTGTTGTTTCTGTTTAAATAAAGCACAGGAACCTGTGATTATTCATAGGCTTGAATTAGCCCTAGTTATATATTAATGAGCTTATGCATCTCAGTCCTCAAAACAGACAACTGGGTTAGGTCTACACAGCTGCTGGGAGCGAATCCCACAGCCCAGGTTGACTGACTCATGCTATCAGGGCTTGGGCTAGTGCGCTAAAAATAGCTGTGTAGACGTTGGTTTGACGATAGGGCTTGGGCTCTGAAGCACACCCTACTCCTTAGGCTTCAGAGCCCGAGCTCCAGCCTGGGCAGGAACGTCCAAATTGCTGTTTTTAGCACACTAGCAGAAGCCCCGCTAGACTCGCTCCCAGCAGCTGTGTAGACACACCCTTCGTGTCACCGCCAGCTAGTTCTGCTAAAATGTTCTGGTTTTTTATGCCATTTAACTGAATCTCTTTTGCAACAGTGAAAATAGGGTAAAAAGCACTATTGTGCCTTTTTAATACCTGATAAATGCAATGAATCGTGTGTGTGTGTGTATGTATGTGTGTGTATGTGTGTATATATATCTATATCTATATCTTCATGTTACAACTTCCCTCTGAAAATTAAAGGAAAACCCTTCATATGATCATGCTTAATGAGGGCTAGGATGGATGGGTTATTATAAGTTGCCAAAGAGAGGCAAATGTACTTTAGCATCCTCAATCGGGATGATAGCAAGTCTGTCTCTGAAGAACCTTAATCTTTACTCGGGTGGTCATCACTTGTACCAACTTTGATCTGAGGGTTTCTTGGCTCCCCTGCAGACTAAAATCCCTTGGAAAAGCGGCATCTCTTAGCAAGCATGCTGCATCTCCACTTTCTCTTCTGGAGCTCCCTTAATGTCATCCTTGCACCCTGTTTGTTCACACACAGGTTTTATTATCCAAGCTGAAAAGCTGCACATCTAAAAATAAATTGGTGCATGCCACTTCTAATCTCCTACTCTTTTCCCTAGACTACAAGTAATGTGAAGCTTTGAACAGCCTACTGTGTTCAGAGTGGAAACTTTCATCACAAATCCATGTTTTGGCGAGTTTTCAGAGTTTAAAACATAATGGTTTAGGACTAAGTAAAGAGCACAAAGGGCAGCCTGCCTGCCTTTTCTTACCTTCATCCCAGTCCTCTGCATTTGAAGCATAGAATCCCTTCTTCCAGAGACAAGTCTATAGTAGGTGACTCCTGAGCTCATCTAAACCCCATTCACCTTGGGGTTCAGGTTTGCAGAACTAGTTTAAAACACTTCTTTAAGCTGGTTACAAGTGATTTGCAGCAGTGTTTTCTTTCAGTGCAGGTTTAACCCTTTGATTCCTTTCCTCTGAAGCCATTTCTGTAAACACTGGGGCATGTCACAGTAGAACACCACAGCCTCTGGGTGAAAAGTTTAACGAGACCAGCGGTATGTCTACGCTGGCAGAGTTACAGCCCCAGCAGTTACAGCACCACTCAGAGAGCGCTGAAGGGAAACCGCTGTTTTGTGTTCACACTGTCAGTTGCCGGCGCAATAGCGTGTTCACACTTCTGGCACTTACAGCAGTATTCGGAGCGGTGCATTCTGGGCAGCTATCCCACAGAGCATCGCTTCCTCTTTTGCTGCTAAGAGTTGTGGGAAGGCGGCGGGGGGTCCTATCCCAATGCCCCGTAATGCATTGCTTCGCATCCCAGCAATCCCTGTGCTTCTGTCTGCATTTGATGCCATCTTTCAATGGTTTGTGTACTGCGTGCTCTGCCTCTCTGGGCTGCAGGAATGGATCCCGCACTGTTGACCGACATGCTGCTCGCTCTCACTAACACATCACGAGTGGCAGTGGAGTTATTCCTTAAACTACAAAGGCAAGAGCAGTTGAACATTGATCTCGCCAAGTGCAGTAATTATGACAAGAGATTGCTTGTGGCATTCATGGAGGTCCTGACCACAGTGGAACGCCGCTTTTGGGCTCAGGAAACAAGCACTGAGTGGTGGGATCACATCGTGGTGCACGTCTGGGATGTAGAAAGCCTGAGGAATGAGGAAAGCCACGTTCATGGGACTGTGTGATGAGCTCGCCCCAGCCCTGTGACGCAAGGACAAGAGAATGAGAGCCACCCTGTCATTGGAGAAGCGCTTGGCGATTGCTCTGTGGAAGCTGGCTACTCCAGACTGCTTCCGGTCGGTCGCTAACCAGTTTGGAGTGGAAAAGTCGACCGTTGGACTCGTGTTGACAGAAGTGTGCAGGGCCATTAATCGCATCCTGCTCCGAAAGACCGTGACTCTGGGCAACGTCTGTGACATTGTGGATGGCTTTGCACAAATGGGCTTCCATAACTGTGGAGGGGCGATAGATGGCACGCATATTTCAATTCTGGCACCAGACCACCTAGCCACTGAGTACCTTAATCGGAAGGGGTATTTCTCAATGGTTCTCCAGGTGCTTGTGGATCACCGTGGGCTTTTCACAGACATTAACGCAAGCTGGTCCAGAAAGGTGCATGACGCACGCATCTTTCGGAACACTGGCCTGTTCAGGAAGCCGCAAGCAGGGACTTTCTTCCTGGACCAGAAGATCACCGTAGGGGAAGTCGAAATGCCTATTGTGATCCTGGGAGACCCTGCCTGCCCCTTAATGCCGTGGCTTATGAAGCCAGACACGGGGCACCTTGACAGCAGCAAGGAGCGGTTCAACAACAGGCCGAGCCAGTGCCGAATGGCTGTTGACTGTGCTTTGGGCCGTTTAAAGGCCCGCAGGCACTGCCTGTATGGGAGGCCGGACCTGGCCGATGACAATATTCCTGTGCTCATAGCCACGTGCTGTACACTCCCTAATATTTGTAAAGGGAAGGGTGACGCTTCACTCGGGGCTGGACTGCTGAGGCTTAGCGCCTGGAGGCTGAGTTTGAACAGCCAGAGACCAGCGCGGGGCCATAAGGATCGGGGATGTCTTGAGGCAAACGTCGGAAGCTGAAAGCTACTAATATTTGTTGCTATGCTCGGGAGTGCAGTGTTTGCAATGCTAGGAGGTGATTGTGATTGGCGCAGATGATGCGCTATGAAGGTGTAAGAAAATTGCCTGTTGCTTTTCAGAGTTCTGTTTGCTTTTAATTAACGGGATAAAGATTGCTTTCAAACCAAAACAATTTTTATTAAAAAAAAACCACCCGAGGAGAGAGACAAACAAAAAAAACGCACTGAGAGGGATGGGGGAAGGGAGGGTCCCAGGACTGTTAAAGATTTGTGTATGTCCTTCTCCTTTGGAGTACAATGCAGCGGGTACTGTACTTCAGCAGGGTTAAATTGCAGATGGCCGGGTGTTGAGTGCAGTGGGTACTGGGAGTCTGCAGTGCTGGACTGTGAGGGGGGAGGAGTGGAATGCCACGGGTAGAGATTAAAGCCAGGACGCTGATAAGTGTGTTGGAGGTGTCTGGGGGGGTGCATGGGAAAGAGTTTTTTGCGACAGTGGCTGCAGGGGAGGGCGGGCGCGGAGCTGCTCGGTTTGCAGTGCTGGTAGCACCTGGAGCATGTCTGCTTGGAGCTCCATAATGTTTAAGAGGCACTCCGTGGCTTCATTCTGGCGTGCCGCGTTCTCCTTTTGGTCCCTCTTCTTGCTGTCCTGCCACTCCTTCAGTTCTTGATTTCTGGCTGTAGAGTGCATCATGACATCACGCAGAAAGTCCTCTTTAGTTCTTCATGGCTGCTTTCTAATTCTGCGCAGCCATTCAGCCGGCGTTAACATAGAGGGAGGCTGGGCTCCCAAGGTCATATCTGTGAAGCCAAATTGCAATGTTTTACAGAAGCAGTATTGGTTGCAATAAATCAGAGACCACTGATTTAAAACACAGCCACTATTCACATATCTGTCACTAACTGGCTGACCCCAGGCAAGCACATATGAGCCACAAGACCCCCAAAATGGCGAGTAACCTCAGGGGCAGGGGAAATCAGTGTTCCAGGACCGTACTGTACACTGGGCATGAGGTTCTTGGAGAGAGGCAGCATTGGGGGGGGGGGGGCTTATAATCATTCCTGTCCCCATATTTTTCCACAGGCTGTGTTCATTATGGAAGATATCTCGCTGCTGAGGGCGAGCAGGGAATCAAGGGAAGGTCTTCTCCAAGACTGCAGCTTCCCACCCTGGCCCTTATGCGGCTCGCCTGTGTGTAGCAATGTCCCCGCCACTCCTCCCGCCATGATGGCAGAGTGGCACAGGAAAGTTACCCTTAATGGGGCAAGAAACAAAGCAACTCTGCCAAAGAACCTGTAGCAGCGGATTACCCAGTATCTCCATGAGAGTTTCCTGGAGATCTCTGAGGCAGATTTCCGTGAAGTGAGGGAGTCAATCAATACCCTGTTCCGCCGCTCAGACTAGGCACATGGCGCTAGGCGCATCATACAGACACAAGCCTGCTTTCTGCAACCCTTCTGCCCCCAACAGCTCGTTTCAGTAGTTCCCAAAATCAAAGCCATTTACCAGGGCTAATCCGTGAAGGATTAATTAATCCCTGAAGGAGCAATCCTAGAGATAGGAGAAGGACGGAGTCACAATCACAAAAGGAATAACTGGAGTTAGACCGTGTGTGTGGCGATGGTGTCTAAATGGAGTGTCCGCCTTGAGCCTTGACCAGGAAGAGGTCATTGGAGACCTCGGTGAGAGCCAAGGGTAAAATGGAGAAACCAGATTGAAGAGGGTCTAGAATGGAATTAAAGGGGCAGCAGTTACAGATTGTGCTCGATGAACTTGGAGATAAAGGGGGGAAGGGGCAATAATTGGAGGGGGGTGACTTTTTAATAATGAGAGAGCCCAATTCATGTTTATGTGGTGAGGAGGAAGGAAACTTCAGGCAACCGAGAGGATAATGAGAAGGGTGCAGGTAAAGGAGGTGAGGACCCAGGGGAATTTGGAAGTCACTGTTTAGGGAGTGATGGCTTCTATCTATTCTCCTTCTTGGCCATGCATGTGAGATCACTGGTACTGCTGTTATGAGGGTATTAGAGACCAGAAGGGAAGCAAGACGCTGATTTGAAGTTAGAAGTATAATTTTAGCCAAACAGAGATCTCAAGATGGTTATGGTGAAGAAGGAGATCAAGAGCCCTGATAAACAAGCAGGAAAGCGGGATTATGACCAGCCCAAAACTTATAGGCCGGTAAGCAGGCTGGGTGTGTGTGTGTGTGTGTGTGTGTGAGACTCCTAGGCTGCCACCCCTGTAGAGGGAAGATCATCAGCAACAATAGAAGCTGATGGCTGAAGCCAACTCCTTTTAACAAATCCTGTCCTAAACTTGACCGATACACAGTTAATTAAAACCCAACAAAAACCAAAATTTTAGCTTCCCCGATAAACTTTTAAAAAGTAATAGTTTCCTTTCCTTTGGGCAGCTGTTGTGAGTTCCATTGTCCACTATGACATTTTAGCCCACCAAATAGCCCAGTGATAATGCTCTTCATTCAAGTAATATGGAGAGGGGAGCAAGGCTCACAAATGTGGTGTTTTCTGCTCATTTATTCCAAATTTTCCCTTAATTCACTGCATGCGTAATTTTTTTCCTTTTAATTTGTTCCTTCTATGCTGCCGCCACCACTAGCACCCAGATCAACCTCCATTCATGTGCATGAAGGCTGCGGGGCAGGCACCGAGTTAGCAGCTTGTGCCAACCAAGCACCTGGATGCAGTCATTTTCTTTCTCCCCTAAGGGAGATGGTTCTGATGGTTGTTCTCCTGTGCTTGCTACGGCAAGATGAGTAAACATACTACTCATTAAAGCAATTGTGATTCTCCGTCTGACCTGTGCCTTTGGGAATGTTTACTTCTAAAAATATTAACCTTTTACAATACGCTCAAATGTTTCTGTCAGAGGGTTTGGGGTTTTTCAGTTCGTATTTCCCTAGTTGTTTAGACCACAAACAAGGTGCTAGAGTTCAAATCTCCAACACAAACAAGCAAGAGATCTTTAAAAGAAGGCTTAAAATAAAGTCCTGTGGACACATACAGATGTGCCAGCACCATGCCAAGAGAAACAGGCAGTTGACCAAATAGTTGAAGGCCAATGGGAAAAGTAATGAAGAATACACAGAAACTGAGCTTGTGGGGGATCCCTTCAGATTATACCTGATTGGGAAAAGTCCCAGTTTTCAGCTCAGCTGTGATCTCTTTCCACTAAATAAGTGATTCCATTCCATGTGAAATGGGTGTGGAGTTCCGTTGTTTGCAGTCCAGTCAATGCCACGTGGAAACCAATCCCTGGTGAACATTTTATACTGAGTTAAATTCATGTCACTGATTTTTGGTGTTCCACCCAGCCTTTCAAAGATGAATAGTCAACCAAAGGGGAAAGCGGATAAATCTGCACCTTTTTGAGACGGAGCCACTGTCTGGTTAATTCGTGTATGTTATGTCTCCAAATTGTATTGAGTCTCTCATTTAGACTCATTTAAGCAATGTGGGCAGGGACCATATTTTCTGTGTGCAGTATTGCAACAAACATACTGTTGGCTCTTTTCAAATAAGACCCTTGTAGCCGTTAGAGTTTGAAATAACAGCAGGGTTTAAAGATTTTGCACCTGAACTATTGTGTGGTGTTTTATGCTCTGCGTTGGCAAGGCTAGCAAGAGAAATGAAGTACTTTAATTGTTTGATTCAGTTCCTTTCAAAAACCTAAATCTAATTTCTCATTTCATGGTTCAAGGAGCCAAATATATTACGTTCTGCTGGCTCTTTACAAAAGTGCATAAGTGGGGAGGCTGTTTTTTAAAAACAGCCGAGATGTATTCAACTCTAACAAGTTGCTTACTGTAATAATATTGCCCACTCTCAATTTTATCGTGATTCTCTCAATGTTCGGTGTTTTTCTTAAAACTCCAGCTGCTGGAATTAGCAGGCTGCAAGAAAATCTCATTTTTTAAAACAAAGGAGGCTTCTAGCCCCGTGGTTGCAGAAAAAAGCCTGATAGCGCAAAGCTATTGCATCCTAAAAATACCAGAAGCAAATAAAAAGAGCCTAACATTTATTTTTTTAAAAACCATGAGATTTAAAAAAATAAATAAATCAGTCTTATGATGGGGGAGGGGAGGTGCGCTAATGATTTTTGAACTTTTGGGGTTGGCAAAGTCAGGTGTGACCTCTGTTATCGGAAGCAGTTTATCTGATGCAAAAATAATTTGGGTCCTTCAGATTTACTGGCCTGGATCATCTAGTTGGATGGAAACCTAGGGAAGTGGACTTTGTGGGAGGAAATCCCTCAGTCCCTTCTTTTGGAGACTCGCCACATCGCCCCTTTTGGGTAGGAGTTTGTATGGAAAAGGCTGCAGGGCCCACCCCAAACCTGTAAAATCCTTTGATCTACATGAGGCTAGGTTGTCCGTTTGGAGGCTTGTGCCTTACTCGGCATTGGCTGTGGCCCCTGGGCTACGCACCTAAACTCCGTCTCTTTCTTTCCTCTCACCTCGGTAACATGGCTCCATCAGAGCCTCCCTATTACCACAGCAGCCTCCAGAATCAATTTCCCCGTCTGTGAAGTGGGATGAAAATAATTGTCAAGTATCAGAGGGGTAGCCGTGTTAGTCTGGATCTGTAAAAAGCGACAGAGTCCTGTGGCACCGTATAGACTAACAGACGTATTGGAGCATAAGCTTTCGTGGGTGCATCCGACTAAGTGGGTATTCACCCATGAAAGCTTATGCTCCAATAGGTCTGTTAGGGTATGTCTACACTACCCGCCGGATCGGCGGGTAGTGATCAATCTATCGGGGATCGATGTATCGCGTGTCCTCTAGACGCGATATATCGATCCCCGAATGCGCTCCCCGTCGACTCCAGAACTCCACCAGGGTGAGAGGCGGAAGTAGAGTCGATGGGGGAGCGGCGGCGGTTGATCCCGCGCCGCGAGGACACGAAGTAAATCGATTTAAGATACGTCGACTTCAGCTACGCTATTCTCGTAGCTGAAGTTGCGTATCTTAGATCGATTCCCTCTCCACCCACCCACCCCCAGTGTAGACCAGGCCTTAGTCTATAAGATGCCACAGGACTCTTTATGAAAATAATTGTGTCTCACGGAAGGGTTACAGTGCTTTGGACTATGTAAATTGCTATAGACGTGCTAACTGTTTATTTTTATTATTATTACAAAGTCTGGATCTGAATGGCTCATTCAAAACAATTAGATTTAAGTGCCTATCAACACTGAATAAGGAGGTTAATCTTTTTAACAATACACGAGCCTTTAAACTGACACAACATTTCCTTCCTTTCTTTTAGTTGCATGAGTTTTTCAATGTTGGCAAGGGAATATTCGATGACATAGCACGAAGATTTCCAGTGTACGCTTTGGACTTCACTGACGGTAGGTTGGCCAATGTTTATAGAAGCACTGGCCTGCTTTTAATTCTTGTGATATGATGTCCTGTTTACAATGTGAATTGAATATGTTCTTTGATATCTCTATTGGCCCTTTTTGTTTAAAAGAAAATCGGGATAGAAACCTATAAATAATTTCTGAACTGACATGATTTAAGGACTAGAGAAATTTGCAACGTTCTCTTCTTAATGAAGATGTTTGTTTTGAGCTAAATTAATTCCCCCTTAAATTGTATGTTGATGATTACACTGATTTATTGTTGGTATCTGCAAAGGAACATGAATCAAAATTGATCATAAACTAATCAGTTTTAATTGGTACAGTACACTTCCCTTCTGCTGCTGTCTGTGTAAGCCAGCCATCGTCTATCCAGAGATGTTGTGGGTGTTGAGCACTGTTACAAATTGAAGTTATGGGAGTTTCAGCAGGATGTCTTTTACAAACAATGTGGTCTCATTAAGGTTCATAAGCAATACAGAGAAGCATAGGGCTATAAGCCAAACTAGTTATTATACTAGGGTTTAACTACCTGGTTTTATTATTATAGTAGCGTCAATCATAATTTGTAAATGGTCATGCGATTGTATCCAGTATAATTGGCACTAGTGTGATCACTGTTGGAATACTATGTCTGGTTCTGGCGTCCACAGTTCAAGAAGGATGTTGATACATTGGAGAGGGTTCAGAGAAGAGCCACGAGAATGATTAAAGGATTAGAAACCTGCCTTATAGTGATAGACTCAAAGAGCTCATCCTTCTCTCTGTTAAGCTAAATAGATTAAGGGGTGACTTGGCTACAATCTGAATACCTACATGGGGAACAAATATTTAATAATGTTGCAGTGAAAGATACAACGCGATCCAATGGCTAGAAGCTGAAGTTAAGCCAATTCAGACGGCACCTAAGGTGTACGTTTTTAACAGAGTAATTAACCATTGGAACAATTCATGGTGGATTCTCCATCACTGACAGTTTTTTCAGCCAAGATTGGATGTTTTTCTAAAGGATCTGCTTTAGGAATTATTTTGGGGAAGTTCTTCGGCCTGTTTTATACGGAGGGGGGCAGACTAAACAATGGTTCCTTCTAATCTTGAAATCTATGAAAAAACACGCATTTTGGGGAGTCTGCAACTGTTGTAAAAACTGTCTCAGGACAGAACCTTGGCATACAAAGCCTCTGACCAACAGCAGTTTTTATATTCTGTTTGCTGGTTTTGAGATCTAGGAGTAACGGAAGTTTTAATTTATTACGTAAATTGATTTGGGGGTTCGTTTAACTCAAATGGCTCCACACGTTACAATGAAAGGTGCCAAACAATGTGTCCTGTTAGAACAGGACGGAGACTTCCTTACATTCCCATAGAGCCAGTGTCCCAAAGTTTGTTGCCCCACAGGAAGCTTTGGCTTTCTGCCAGCAGGAGGTTCACAAAAGCTGATTGGCGATTTGAAAAATTAATTAATTAATTTTTCAAATATATTTTGCAGTTTGTGAATGGCGCAAACTGGTGGAGCCAGATTTTGCAACCACAGGGCCGATGGGTCGTTAGCGACGGGCTGGGAGAGCAAGTCTGCTCCACGCTCACCCAGCAGCAGCTGCTCCTGTCCCACAGGGCGGGGCCCAGTTCCCCACTCTGGGCATTGCAACCTGGCGCATGGGGTCGTAGCACCATTCAGGTTTGGCCCAGTCAGTCATGACGAAGGGGCAGCCAGCCCAAATGTGAGTCGGTGGCATTGCAACGTGAAACACAGAGTCTGGGTCACGGTGCTCCCGTGTGCCAGGTCACAACACCCAGAGTGGGGAGCCAGGCAGTGGGGGCTCGCTCTCCAGCCCCATATGAACGTTGGTGTCATGCCCCTTCTTTTGTCCATTTTGTAGTATGCTGGAAAAGTCACCTAGAGGCAGGGCGGTCAGCCCCCAGCCCTCTTGTTAGCGCCCAATGCTGAGGGCAAGGAACTTTTTGCCTTCTGCACTGCCATTCTGCTGGGCTGAGTGAAATGGGTCTAGTTTCCTTTATCCTCCATGTGCTCCATACCCAGTTGGGCCTGAGTGCTGAAGGTGTCTCCAGGCCCTCTGTGACTACCATAACTGTTCGGCAGCAGCTAAATGTTTACAAGGTGGTGAAAAGACAGAGTTTCAGTCTTTCCTAGATTGTCCCCACTTGCATCAAACCCTTAGCGCTCGATTTTTCAGAGTGAATCGTGTGAGCCAATTGTGGGCAAAGATGTGCAGAGAAAATTATTTTCAGAAGTGGAGCTCAAGTGCCCTAGTGCAGCTAAAATAAAAATCATTTCTTTGCATATGCATTTTTGTGTCTGTCTGGTGGACGGGGAGATAAATTATCTGAGTTATGACCCCAGCTCTACCTGTGACTTGCTGTGTGACCGTGGGCAAGTCACTCCATCTCTCCATGCCTGGTTCCTCACACGGTATTGTGAGGATAAATTAGCATTTGTAAAGCACGCGGAGTGCCTTGGATGGAACGTGTTGGAGGAGTACTATGCAGTGTGTCGCTTTCTACAATGATCTGTGCCTTTGTCACCTTAGGACTAGACTTTAGCTGCTCACACTACCTGGGATGACTCAAGGGCCACCCTGTAGCTGCATCGGGGTAGCACACAGATGTTTGCAGGCAGGAACCCATCATCCCAATGCTCTCCCCTCTACATTTACTGAAAATTGAATTCAGAATCCAATTCAAGATCCTTGTTCTCGCATTAAGAACGTTGACTGGGCTCTGAACCCTGTTTTCCCAGAACCATCTCTCTCCCCTCCGAACTGTGCTACGCTGCTCTGTGATGTCAGCCGACAGATCCCACGTTTCTTTTGTGTTGGGCAGAACGGAGAGTTTCCAGTGGAAAAATTCCTAGGATGGAACCAACTTTGGCAGCAGATCAAACTGAGCCCAAATCTCTCCCCTGCAGACCATGTTGCACATCACACCTCTTAAGTGAACTTTTCCCCAAAGCAGCCATATAACAATGGCACCCAGCACTGAAGGAATCTACCACTAGTCCCCATCACTGTGAAGATGAAATAGAGCTGAGCCTTCAAGAGGTGGTGTGTGTGTGTGTGTGTGTGTGTATCTTTTTGTGAGTGGCACAGAGACTACAACAGGGAGTGCTATACAAATGCCTATGAGAGCTAGGCGGAGTGAGGAAATTCCATTTTGTGAAGGATTTCAAAATTTGACTTCGTTCAAAATTGGAATGAAATCTGAAAACTTTGAATTTCCGTGAAGAACATTTTTTTAAAAAAATTTTAATTAATCATAACACTTTGTTTTGATTGTGACTTTTTTATTTTTTATTCTACAAAATTTTAAAAAAATGAAATGTAAAGCCATTTAAAAAAAATGACCAGCCATTAAATTGTCTTTGGAATGTCATAACTGTGTGGTGGAAGGGAGGGATTTTGCTGTCCTAGTGTCTTTGTCCTCACAGTGAAGATAAGGGATCTAGCTAAAGAAGAATGCTTTAGTTCCGATTTTCTATATTGTCAGATTTTTTTTTTCCTGAGTTTTTCTCCTAAACAAAAGTTCACCAAAATGACACAATTTTGCAAAAGCATTTTGATTTCAATGGCACTGTGGTTTCTGGTGAGCTCTACTACAAATAAAGACTGTAGTATATTTTTGTAGTTGGTGCTAAAAATTGGTGAAGAGCAGGAGCACCGTGAAAGAGGAGTAAGTATGTGTTAGATGAGTTTAGGCAAGGACCTTCCCTTGTTTTGTGTTTGTGAAATACCTTGTGCATCACTAGCTCAAATAAGCAGAGAAGTTTTGTATGAGCAGTGGTCACAGCTGAAACTCTGTTCAATGATTCTCAGCACTGCACCATCAATATACTTAGCATTTATGAAATAACATGAATGGTCCAGTCTGTACAGAATATACGTGGAGGGGCTGAAATTCTTGCAGCAATCAAGAGCGCAGTGGTGTAATTCTTTAAGGATACATGAGATGAAAAATAGATGAGAAACAGTGAGCATCTTCCACAAAGCACCAGGCTGGAAGGAGAACAAGACCATGAAGTTTCTGGATCATCTCAAAGCAGCGTGGTACTGCAAATGGGGTATTTGAATGAGCCAAACTAAGAAACAGCCACACATGCCTCATCAGAGGTTCACGGTACAGAGAAGGCATTGTTTTTATTGAGGAAGTAGAGAGTGCAGTCTGAGCAGAAGGCACAGTAGCAATGTATGATCAGACCAACAAGACCAGCCATTAAATTGTCTTTGAAATGTCATAACTGTGTGGGGGAAGAGGAGGGATTTTGCTGTCCGAGTGTCTTTGCCCTCACAGTGAAGATAAGGGATCTAGCTAAAGAAGAATGCTTTAGTTCAGAAGAGGCTTGTGTTTTTGTGGCAGAAAGACTAGGGGTGAAATCCTAGCACCTTTGACGTCAATGGAACCAGGAAGTCACAGCAGGATTCTAGGGGTGTGTATGATTTGTAGAGAGATTGTCTTTCTTGTCTGAAGCACTTGGGTTTGATCCAGTCATTTGCATAATTCAAGTGTTACACTTATAACTGTCCGTTAAAACTGGGAGTAAAATGAAATGTATGGTGAGCTATGAACTGTTGAGTTCTTGCAGTGCGGCTCGTGGAATTTTGCTTGGTTTCTATAAACATTGATCCAGCAGCAGTTATCTTTTAATAACTTTATTGATATATTTGAGTAACTCTCCTTGTGACTTACCAGTATCATGTACAAAAATAATAAAGTGATAGGGCCAAATACAGGCTTTCCCGTTGCTGAACTTGTCCCTAAAAAATTCTGAAGATTTTAGCTTAAATTCCTGATGAAATCATACAGATTTTGGAAAAACTGCCTACGTTTCCCCTCCTCACCCCCCAAAAAAACCTGTTGTTTTCTCTTGATCATATATAAGATTTACACATTCTCTGCATTCTTAAATGTTTTTCCATTCCTTCAGTATGTTTTTGGGGTTTTTTAATGTATAATGGCTTTTTTTGTGGTTTATTTTATTCTACCAGTGCAATACAAAGAGAGAACTTTGAAACAATTTAAAGATGTACAATGATGATCAGCTAAATGAAAGTCAGTGCACTGAAGTAAGATACTGGTGTTCCTGGATTTTGTTCTCAGCAATAACACTGACCCTCTATGTCCTTGTGATGATCAATTAGCTTCTCATTGCTTCAGTTCCCCTGTCTCACGGGATTTGAGATGAATTATTGTCGACCCTATTCTTCCACCTTACTCATGTTGAGTAGGACCTGGGAATGGGCAATAAGGCATGGATCACTTGATGATTACCTGTTCTGTTAATTCCCTCTGAATCACCTGACATTGGCCAATGTTGGAAGACAGGACACTGGGCTAGATGGACCATTGGTCTGACCCAGTCTGGCCTTTCTTATGTTATGACCTCACCATGCAAGTTTTGTTGTTGAAATCAGTAGGATTGCCCTCGTAGGCCTTGATCCTGCACAGCACTTAAGCACGCATGTAACTTTGCTCAAGTGAACAGTCCTATCGAAGGACTACAGACGTGAGCCGAATGATGCATGTGTTTGTGTTTTGCAGGATCAGGGCTATAGTGAGGTACAGTAATACTCAACAGGATCAAGATGTTTATAAAGAACTTTTAAAGGTAAAAAGCTTAGTTTACGTGCTATAATTAATCTGACTTGTTGGAAAAGGGCATGTTTTGCAAACATGCAAAGTGCCTTAATTGACCACTGCATCATCTAAGCCTGAAGTGCAGTTTGAGTCTGCAGCTTCCCTTTGGTAAATACTCACGTGCACTTAAATAGGTGGCCACTCTCCTAATCTGTCTGTTTTGCTCTCTTGCTTTAAGTGCTTGATGGGTCTTGCCTTCCTAAAGCCCCATCTCTGGCCATGTTCCAAAGTGCCAAATTGTACAGACTCTCGGCATTTCCATGCATAGCTTGGGCCCCCTCTTGTTGAAAATGAAGCCTATTAAAATAATATGGATGTGTGTGAATATACATCCTCCTAAGTGGAGAGAAGTCTGCAGGAAATAATAAATAGCCGAAAGAAATACAAGATATTAAGTTGGTAGAATCCCCCTGAGCATTCTGTGTATTTTCTCAAATTCGGTTTCCTGAACCTGAGTGTATTTTCCCTTTGCCCAAGAAAGCATCGGTTGAATATAGAGCGCTCCAGCTTAAAGAACGCGTTCTCATAAGCAGCCTTCCTCTAAGGAAAAAGAAATTCTTCATTCTGGCCATCTGTGCTCTTCAAGAATACAAAGCAGACTCTCTTCTCGCTTTCACTCTTCCCGCAAATTACAATGAAATTGTGTTGTTCTTAATTGGGATGGATCTGTGAGGTAGATCAGAAAGCCAGATCTAACCTAACAATTCATAATACAGTTCAAAAATCTCTCTAATGTGGCACTGCAGTATGAAGGGTGTATATGTTGCCCTTCTTTAGGAATGACTCAGGATATCATCTGCCAAGCATTTTTTATAATTTAAACATGACGGATACTTTGTTTGCCTTGGGTTTAAAAGATGTGGCTTTGTCTGTGAAGCACATCAGTGTAATTGAACTTTTCAGCTGATTTTATTCAATAGCTAATACAATGGGAAAGGAACACTTGCTTTACTAATAGTTAACCTCCCACATCTCCTTGAACGTCTTAAGTTTATTCAATAAATGTAAAATTAATAGGTCCAAGTGTGTCCGCCCCCAACTGAGCCTTTTTATCAATTATGTTCTAAACATGAATATTAAAGTAATTTGAGGCCAACAACACTCTAATCTGTGCATTTTCCAGAAGATGCTGTTTTGGTTTTTTTTAAGTCAGATAATTGAATATGTTGGAAATGATAGAGCACAAAAAATAGAGCTGTCGTACAAATAAGCCTGGTCACTGGCAGTTTGAATTTGTAGCTGTGCCTCCGTTTTGAGTCACAGCTTCTCTAACAGTCAAGCACTCAAATCTCACAGCTGGACTGCAAGCCGATTGTGCTGCAAATGTACACTGCCCAGTCAGAGGAAGGTGGCTTGTTTTTCCACTAGTTTTATTAGGCTGTCCCAAATGATATACTGTCATGATGCATCCTGCATTTTTTTCGGATGAAGTGGACTGGGTCAGTTTCTGGGCTGCAAATAAATCTGTTAGATCTCTCATCAGCCATTGACTTAAAAGAAAAATGTCATTGTGATAAATATTTGACGTTAAAAATGCTAATTTTACACATGGGATATTTGTACGTACAGAAAGAAACAGCAGCTCAATGAATCTGCAGTGTTGCTGTAGCTGTATTGGTTCCAGGATATTAGGCCATGTCTATACATACAGCTGAAGACCCTCTATGCCGATGAGACAAGCTCTCCCATTGACATAGCACTGTGCGCGGGAGCTCTTACGTTGGTGTAATTTAGGTCGCTTGGGGGTGGAATATTCACACCTCTGAGCGATGAAAATTTTGCCGACGTAGGCTGTAGTATAGACATGCCCTTTGAGACACAAGGTGGGTGAAGTAATATCTTTTATTGGACCAACTGCTGTTGGTGAGAGAGACAAGCTTCTGAGTTGCAAAGAGCTCTTCTTCAGGTCTGGGATAGGTATACAGAGTGACACAACTAAATACAAGGTGGCGCAGATTGTCTGGCGTAAGTAGTTAACACGCATTCTAATCTAAGGAACCATTCAAGGTGAAGTGACCCATTAACACCCCTGCAGTCATAAGACAAAAAAGGGGCGTTTAGTGGGTTACCGATTGTTGTAATAAGCCAAAATTCGAGTGTATTTATTTTTAAGACCCTGATTTTTAGTGTCTAGCAAAGTTATGAATTTAAACTCCCAGGCTTTTTCTTTTGAAGATTTCCTTTGAGGACAAGGACGGAGAGGTCAGATACCAAGTGATTGCTTTGTGAAAAGTGTTCGCCCACAAGTGATATAGTGTTTTTGGCTTATCTTTTTTTGTGAGAGTTCATTCAGTTGGTCCAATATAAGATATTACCTCCATCCACCTCGTCTCTTTAATATCTTGGGACCAACACAGCAAAAACAACACTGCATATAACCTTAACATAGGCATTCTTGTATTGTTTCACTTGTTTTTGTAAAATTATCAAATCAAATAAACTGTTTTTTCCCCTGTGTGCTAATGATTCAAGCCTATAGCATTATCAGATTTCTGTCTGGGACAGTGTAGTTCCTGGTGGTTATTTTTCCTATCAAAAGCACTATGAGCTGAGAAGACAATTGATTAATATGTTGAAACTAACAAAGGACAAATCACAAAATGTTCATATGCTTGATTTTTAGTTAAGAACCCCTAACATGTGGCTGCTGCTTTGATCCTCATCCAAACTGTCCAAACTTCTTGGGTCTGGAAAATTAGGTTGCAGGTCTAACAAAAACATGTTTTCTCTTGAGATTTCCAGTATTTCCTGTTTCTGATGATGCTAGAATGTCTGTCTGCTAGAACAGCCTATCAGGTGGCATTTTGGCACTTCTGATTCTGGTCTGTTTTGATAAAGTTGCCCTAATTGTAAGCTCAACAGTAAAGAGTATGTGAAAGTTGACAAAATGTTACAATAATCTATAACAACAAATGTTGATAGAAAAATAGGTCAAGTTGTTTTCAATATTGAATGTTGTCAACAAGTGCAAGAAAACCAGACCAAGAGACTAAATTAGTCCAAACAAAAAAGGCCATGGTGATATATTTCAAGGACTGTGTTAAGATCATATTTGGTAAAACAAGAAGCCGTGGAACCAGAAATTAATGAACCCAAATGGGTGTGTTAGGTATTGGGCCTAATTAGAGGACAAAATAATGAGGAGATGGGGTATTCCACCCTTCACTCTCTTTTTGGGTCCTGAAAGAGATTTTTGGGGAGGACGAAGTAAGGAAAAACAGACAGAGGCTACTGAAGCAGCCATCATGGCTGTCAAACCCACCATTTCCTGGGAACCCTGGACCTTCATCATCCTGATTCTGAGATGTCCTGACTAGACCGAGCCAGAGAGATGGATCCAACCCTATCAGTTCCAGATGAATCCCGAACACCAGCAGAGATAAAACGGGGTTGGACTTTAACAATAGCATCTACAACAGCGGCTCCAGCCCATCTCAACTAACATCTTCTCTTTTCCCCACCAGGACAGTTATTACCATCTTTAATACCACCTAAGAGACTATCACACAAGGGATTTTCCCCTGTAAAGACTCTCTCCAGGGAAAGGGGTATTGGTAAAATAAAAAGTCATACTCAATAATTTACATTTAACTTGTTTCCCTTCTTTTATTTATTTTTTTTAACAAAAGGTTAAACGGATTTTTAATGGTGTGTTGGCTTAGGTACTAAGCAGGCTGAGGGGCCTCTATACCAAACCATGTTTAACACCTTTTAATGTTGGATAGTGACTGGATTTATGTTAATATATTTGGGCCATATATTTCATCTAAATTAATACGAGTCCCAGATGGGAGTGCAGTGGTGCGCTAAAATGAAAAATAATTTACCTTTTTTTAAAATTCAAGCCTCCAAATAAACCTTTGGCTTGAGGTTTGGTTGTTACTTTATCCCAACTGGTTCGGCTTCCTTCACCTAAGTCACTTCCTTGGTCCCTAAGAAGTATCTGTAAATAATTTCTAAATGGACAGAATGAAAAATCAAATATAGTTTGTAAATAACAAACAAGAAACTCACCTCAACAGAAATGGAATTTTCCTTAATGAAGGTAGGTTTTCAGGTTGAAACACTGAACATTCTTTCATACCTATGTTCACTACTTATGGGTTATCTACCAGACCCTGCCTTTGTACTATAACTGGGCATAAACACCATCAGGAATTGTATCTTTTAAATGGATGCAGACTACATTTCCAGTTTTTCGTTTTAGCATTTAAATTATTGTCACCAATAACTAAAGATCTGCATGACTGTCTTTGAGTGACGTTTTAATGCCATAGAACCAACTGTGCTATTGATTATTAATACTGCTATTTTTGGTTTGTTTCAGGGATTATCGGAAATAACAAGGCCATAGGAAAATACATCACAACAATGATCTTTTTATATTTTGCCTGCCTCCTGCCATCCATTGCATTTGGTTCCCTAAATGATGAAAACACAAGAGGAGTTATTGGTGAGCTTATCAGAGTTGCTTTATGTCTGTTTGGGGGAAATAATGAAATAAGCAAGATCTGGTGGAGGAGATGCCGGTAAGGACTTCTTTTCCAGTAACAATGTGGACAGTTGTGCTCCGACCTTATTTCTCTTAATAGATTAAAAAAACGAATCTGTATCTATATACAAACTTTTCTGGTATCCCTGGGTGCATAGACAAGTACACACCTAATTATTGTGTTCTGTGCTACCCATGTTGCAATGACAGTAAAGGTAATCCCATGCACAGGGTTGTAAGTCCACACTTGCTATGTGTTTGTACAACATCTAACACAATGGGGCCCCGCTCCTGACTGGGGCTTGGGGTGGCTATTGTAATACAAATAACTAGCCTGGTGGAAGACATTTGCGTACTCTTCTAGTATCACCCAACCTAGCCCCGCTATCGGCCTGATTCATCTTTGCACTGAGGCCCCTTGACACTTTGCTTGTAATTCAACAGCAGCTTAGTGTAGATGAGAATCCAGCCCTGTTTTGTTTACTTCTTATGTATGAAAAATTGCTCCTTGCTTCACTTTAAAACAGTGGTTCTCAAACTATGGGGTGTGCCTCCCAAGGGAGGTGCAGGAATGTGTCAAGGAAGGCGCAAGCGGCACGTGTTTTTGGTTTTTTTTTAAGCGCTCCAGGTGTCAGCCCTGCGCGGCTCGGACTGTCAGCCCCAGGAGGCCAGGGCTCATGCAGAAGGGGCATGCACACCGGGGAGGCAGGGAGAAGAGATGAAGGGGACAACCGGAGCCTCGTTGCCTTGGGCTGACAGCCGGAACCCCACTACCCGGGTTCAGGCTCTCCTCCCCTCTTCCCCCTTCACTCCCCCAGTCCCTCACCAGGAGGCAGTGGCAGGTCTCCAGCTGTCAGCCCTGGGGTGGCAGCAGCAGCAGTGAAGCAGAGAGGTTGGCAATGGGGCACTAAGTCTGCTGTGTCAATTTGTCAGTATCACTTTGCCACCCTTATTTTTGCGCTGCTGCTGGTGCGGCACTGCCTTCTGAGCTGTGCGCCCAGCCAGGAACCATGGCTCTCCGCTCTGCTTGGCCGGCAGTGGATGTACAAACGTGTGTGTGTGTGTGTGTGTGTGTGTGTGTGTGGTAGGGAGGGGACGAACAA